ACAGAAAGAAGACCGAGCTAGAAGGCTTCGATGCGACCTCGAGAGAGCTCAATCACAGAATTCACGACGAGAAGAATGAGTCATGAGCCCCCTATTTATAACCGCAATGTTTGAAAAGCTAACGGTCGAGATTGAATTGATCCGACGGCTCCTAGAAAAACTGACTACGCGATCCCCGAGGCCGAAATCGGTTTAGCGCGTTTTTTGGCGTTTGCGAAATTTATAGACCTCGTGACGTCCGCGCGTATACAAACGCGATCTAGGTTTTTCTAGTCGAGCTGCGTGGTCGAATAAATCCAACCGGTGACTCATCTGACTAGCTGCTTGAACTTCGAACCAAATCCACTTGGCTCGTCATGAACTCCCCACACCAGGTCAAGACCCCTAGCCCGGGGAGTGGGGGGCAATCGATGAAGGGTGATTTGGCCCGACCTCATAATGGGGAGACACGTGGGCATGACTCGACATAAGTGACAACTCGACACAATCAGATCGGCACGTGGACGTGACCCGACATGAGTGACAGATCAGCATGATCAGTTCGCTACAGAGCGACCTCGGGTACCCTGTTACCCCAAACTAAAGCTACTTCGAGTTACCAGATCGCGACCAGGATAGAGACCAAGTTCGTTACACATCGAGCTTGGACAGATGAACCACCCTAGAAAGAGGCAACCTCGGGGCAGAACTACCTCGGTGCAAGATCAGCTCGGTACTAAGGCACTTCGGCATTCGGAGCAGATCAAGTATGTGGAACAAGAGCTCAGGCAGCTCGCCACCAAGCAGCCCGACACTTCACAAGCAACTCACTATCTAGTCAGGTTGACCTTCACATGACAACCCCAAGGATCCCGTGCTTTTCGGGATCACGCCTCGTAACGGCTAGCACTATCTCACCGTCCTATACAGGCAGTTGTAATGAGCCTTATCGGCTAGCGGTGTTATCTCCTGTTAATACGGAAACGAGCCTCATCATAGCAAGGATCCCGGAACCACTCCGAAAGACCCGTGAGGACTCCAATATATAAAGGCCCCAACCCTCTAGGGGCGAAGGTATGCATAATCTCTGCTCTCTAGCTCTCTTGCTTTCTTAAGCTCTCATCAGCTCGCAACCAGATACTGACTTAAGCATCGGAGTGACCTCGCCGGACAAGCCCCCCGGATTTTCTAATTCTCCTTGTACAGATTAATCAAGTCCGTCGTCTACTAGAAGCCAAATCATCACTAAGAGCAGCCGGATTGCATCTCGTCAGAGCCCTTAATCACATTAATAATTAAAAGCCTGAAAGGTTAGCCGATTAAGAATTTATCAATGGTGGTAGAGGCAGCTTAGGGAAGAATGGGTTTGTGAAGAGAGTGAAGTTTCGTCAACTGCATATGATCCTATGTCTGATTTGTTCAAAATGCTAGCTGTAACTTACAAGAGATTGGGCGTATGGTTGGAAATGAAACCTCTCTACGAATACTATCCACTTTATGTCATTCTTGGGTTTCGGCTGATCGGCCACACATTGAGCACAACACACTATAGTTATGAGTCCGGATCTATTCCCAACAGAAAATCATCCTAACACATTCTAACATGATTTGTGTCCTCGCACATCTCATCTCATGCATGATGGGTTTTCAGTCTAATGGTGAGATGTGCAAATTCAAATCATGTTGAAATGTATTGGGACGGATTTCTGTTGGGAGGAGATCCCAATTTTATAGTTATACATTGGAAATATTTCCTCTTAAATGACAATATACTAGTACGGGAGATACTCCCAATGTATGGTTGTAAGGTCTTGTGGCCAGCAGATTTAAACTCTGTTGTCATTCCTAATTACCACTTATGTCTATTCATCATCAACAAGTAAAATTTCGCTACTTACGTTGAATCCGGATTTATTCCTCATAGAACGCACCTTACAGCACTTGCAGCTGCACATTGGAGGAACATCTCCCATATTGCGAGGTTCGTGTTAGGAGCTAATCTGGACTCGCTCACGTTATAAACTCTCTTCATGTGAAACGTTTTAATTAAGTTTCCTATGAACGAACTAATGTCTCGTGCAAAGAAAGACATGAAGACAACATGGGCTTTTCTGTAATTTACTTAGCTAGATTAGCTAGTCTACCTAAGTTAAAGTCATAGGGAGTTAATAATTAAGAATGATATATATTAAGGCCCTCCTACATTCATTCACTTTTTTATCCTTAATTAGCAAGTCAGAATCTGCTGCTTCCATGGCTGTGCGCTGTGGCATTCCTTGCAAGCAAAACCTCTGCACACATTGTTAAAGGATGGGAATTAAGCTGTATATCAGATGGAATCTTCTGCCCAAGAACTTTACCCATGTCTATCCACAATACATTACCCCCATGAATTGGGAACATCGATGTTCTTCATGTGTGACTGTGATAAACGTAGGTAGAGTTCTCATGGGCAGGAGATTCGGACAGGGAACATCTTCTCGTCAATTTAACACAACGTATAGGAGATATTCCCAATTTCTAAATAACCTCTCTCTCTTTCTAAGATTGCATACATTTGTCCTTCTCCAGACCCCCATTGGCATTGGCGGGAGCCTCATGCACTAGACTACCCTTTTATATAAGAGATATTCCTAATGTGCAGCTGGATGCCATGTGAGTAGAATTTTTGCTTACAAGAGATCTAGGCTCACCCAAAAGATACCATATCCATATTTCCAAAATGAATTAATAAAAAACTTGTCATGAGATGCATAGCTTAGAATATAGATCATGTTGGAAGCTGAATGGATAGCATCTCTAGTCTCCTAATTAGGTCTAATTATTAGAAGATTTTCAATTTGTAATGTCATGGCAAGAATCCATTAGTTGAGATGGACATTCGTACCCCTCCAAATGGGAAGTTCATGATCAAACCCGCAGAAGAAGAACTGTGGAACCACAGGCTCTAGTTGGTAAGGTCTCATGCTGGTTATAGTGGAGACTTGGGATCAAATCCCACCTGCACATGTACTGTACATATTTGTATTTGCAATCTTCTCAAACTGAGCTGCCCAGAAAAAGAAATCAATCCTAACTTCTTTCCTTATCGTCAAAAAGGAAGATTATTCTTCGTTGTCCCAACTATTGGGGATATTAGCAAGGGTGGAGAATCAGGATCTAACCATTGGCATATAAAGTGGCCACTCTCAAATTCAAACCTTTGTTATTCTCACGCTTGTCAGCCAAAAACTTTACCGTTACACCAACCAATTGGCCCCTTCCCTTTTCCAGTCTTCAGATAAATTAAGATTCATACAACTATGATGCCAGAAAGACATAATTAATACTGAAAAACCTTATAACCAATCAACCAATATCATAAAAATAGTAACCAATCAGATGGATTTTCATCAAAATTTACAAAGGAGTTGATTGGTCAAAGCTTTTCCAATATCATATCTTTCTGGTTCCCAAAGTGGCGCGACACACCCTAAAACCCGACTGACCTCCTCCAGCTGTTTATGCACTGCGCTGACGAGGGTTGTGGCTGATTTGCAAATTTGCAAGTGGTCTAGTGCCAGTGATCAAAGCATGACATGAAATGGCTCACCCTCACCCACTAAACAAGCTGGGATCACCCATTTTCATCTCAGTTTAGATCCATGGAAGACCGAGAATCTGAATTAGGCCCAGATGGAATACACATGCGACAACCTTTAGGCTCTTTAGGGTGTGAGACCATCCACACTTGTGTGGTCATCGCTAGTTCTTACTTGTTTGTAGCAAGCCAAACCATTCATATATTTATATGAACAGAGAACCACATGGTCATTAGATGAGAGAGAGAAAGCTAGTGAAAGCGGGGCACACGGAATCCAATACCCTGCAAAGCTTCCCACTTTTCAGATCGCAATCTTTTTTTATGTAAGAAAAGGAGTTCACTTTTGCTACGGCATAGTTTCAGCTCAGGATTGAAACTGAAAATCGTGGTCTTAGACGTATTGTTGTGCCCCCACCAATTCATCTAATTCAAGATGAGACCATCACAATACATCAAAGGCTTTGATTTTGATTTTGTTGTTTTAGCAAAAGTGAGTTGAGACAGGAAGAAGGTCTCAAGATGGAATCAACTGACCAAACTGGGGAATTTTCCTACTTTTGATTTCTTATATTCCCAGGTTGGTTGTATTCTCCCACATTCACATTCACGTCCACAAAAGCAATAAAGGTGCCAACAAATGGGTTTCATCAGAAGTACACGTGTCACATTACCCTTTGGTCCCAGTTGGCTAGATTTTACCGACCTAGCCAACTGGGATCCACCCAACAGTGCGTCTGAAGTTTTTGACCGTTGCAGAAACATTCCCTTAAATTTAGTAGTTGCAATCACCTCCCCTCAACCCTCTAATACAATTGCAATTAGACCCTTTTTATTAGAATATTTAAGAAAAAAGTATAAAATGTCTAAAATACCCAGACAATTATTATTGAGGCTGGTTTCTACGGGGAAAAAAGCAATACAAACTTCATAAACAACAAAAACACAACTTTACCTTTGAGTGATGATATGAAGGGAAAATTTGAAAAGTAAATCAATTTCAGAAAAGAGATTGGAAGGGTTTGGGGCAGTGATTCATATGAAGAGAAAATTTGGTAAACAAACAATTTTGTTAAAAGTAATTGCATGGGTATTTTGGACATTTTCATGCCTCTTTTTAGAATATTTTACCCGAAGGGATCTACTTGCAACTATGTCAAAATGTTCAGGAAAGGTTTCAGCAGCAACCAGAAACTTCAGACGAGGTTTCAGCAATTTTCCCCAAATATAATACACAGTTGAAATTGATTCAAGTGTGGCTGCAACTTGTGGCTTCAAGGAATGGTGAAACAGTAGGTCGATATATCTATGGCGTAGGAAAAAATATCAGAGGATATTATTGCTATATGGGTATCCAACTAAGGCACATTCCCTTGTGAATTGTTTTGCTTAAACAATGGCAGCCCAACGTTCCTTAGCTTTCACTATAAATAAGCTGCCATGAGTCTTGAGAAATTCAAGCTCATCACAGCCCAAAGGGTTGATTGATCAGACTGATGAGCTTCCATATCCAGAGATACAGATTTCTTTACACAGTCTGATTGCAACCCCAACTGCTGGTTCAATTCTGAAGTTCATTCATTTGAGCTTTGATTAAGATGAGCAGAGGCTCTTCCATTTGGAAGCAGCTCCTCTTTCTCCTACCTTAGTTATAGTAGCTACTAGCTATCAACTTGATATATATACAGTAGTCTAAAGGTTGCTTATTCAGTTGGGATCATCGAAATGGAGAAGGTGATGAGATTGGCTGCAGAGAAAGGGGTGGTGATATTCAGTAAGAGCTCCTGTTGCATGTGCTATGCCGTGAAGATTCTGTTTCATGAACTTGGAGTGAACCCAATCGTTCACGAGATTGATCAAGACCCAGAAGGGAAGGAAATGGAGAGGGCGCTGTGCAGGCTGGGGTGTAATGCACCTGTACCAGCTGTGTTCATAGGTGGTAAGCTGGTGGGATCTACTAATGAAGTCATGTCCCTTCACCTGGGTGGCTCTCTGATTCCACTGCTCAGGCCATATCAAACTCTAGTTTGATTAATTATGCATCCCTCTCTAATACCATGTAATTAGATGAATAAATTAAGTTTGCTCAATCCAAGGTCATCAATGGAGCTCTATATATATATATATATATATATATATATATATATATATATATATATATCCTACTCTTCTTTTCACAATGAATCTGGATTATCTATCTGGCTTTCCATGCATCTATCTCCTTGTGGTTTGACACAGACTAACTACAACAAGTAATTGGGTTTGCTTCATATCCCAAATCTTCTAATGTCCAGAGGATACTAAGACCTTGTTAAGATTAATTTGATCATGATGTGTTCAATTAATGGTGAATTTGGAAGAATATATGAGAATGAGACTGAAAAGATATTGACTGCAGAAATTTAAGGCCAGGAGGTATTCTGCAGGAAGACTGTCACAACAGCAAATCACCACCACCACAAACCAGAATAGAGCTAGCCTTTTTTATCTTTGATGGGTAAAACAGACATGTCCCACATATATATAGCTCATTAATTGTAGACTCTTCTTGGTAAGTTGTACAGATTAGAATGAAATTAAGCCGTGTTAAATATCTTTTTCTTTCTGTTTTTCTCAACAGTCCCACTGTTCAGGCCTCAAGTTTGGTAGGTACCAAACAACCCAGTACTCTAGCTTCTCCCAGCCCAACACTTGAGACTAATTAACAAGGTTAATTAACAAACATCCTATTTGTAAACACTACTCGACAACAATCAATTTCAAAGCATGCCATCAGACACTGCTAACTAGAAAGTCATGATATGTATGGATCTGCAAATTAAAAGCCTTGATTTGGACATACATTCATTTAAGAGTCATATTCCTTTTAACCCTAGTTTATGACCACCCAATTAGGCACAAGGTAGTTTTCTGGGTGCTTCTGTGTTCATCCGTATCCATAAGTCAATGAGGTCCCTCTCTTTTGCATATTTTGGTTTGATTGTATGATGATCTCTCAACTTTTGGTAGATACAGAGATTGATGCAAAATTATGTTAATGAATGAAATCTCAAGCTAAAATATTTGATTCAGAATACAGAAATTCACTCCTTAAACAGAGTTTTAAAATCTTGCTTAGACAAATACCATGCCCCCAGCTTGAACTAGTGGAAGAAAAGAGAACAGAATCCCACGCTCAAAGATTATTTAAATGTGTCATCGACCACGTTTGATGCTTCCTTTGCTAACCATTTTCTATTGCACTGCACCCATGAGGGATTCTCCTGTTAACATACAGTGTATTTGTGAAGGTTCATTGCATGCCCGGAGCTAGCTGCGTTAAGTTTAAGCTTTACTAGAAGTTTTCTAGTGTGGCGGAATCAAATGGCAACCTTCCTGGCTAACCCAGGTCATGAGCCATCTAGCTAGTAGGATTAGTTGGGATTGATTATCTCTTAGGGTGTGAGGATTGATGTAGCTCTGCACCTGCTTTTGTTAGCTCTTCTCCTGCTCCAGCAAAAGAGAGATGCTGGATAAAAGCCCCCATGAAAAAGGAGAAGCTGGAAGGATGAAGAGATGCTCAATGGATTATCTATTGTCCATCTCTCTCTCTCTGTGAAGTGCAGTAGTCGTGTGAATGTGATGAAGTGAAGATGATGCTTGTGCATATACACACAGTCACAGACTCGAGTGGTGGCCGTATTCCACCGTCATAAGTTTCATTGAATTATGTGACGAGCAAGATATGAAGAATCGAGTGGACATAGAATGATAGAAAGCAAGAGCAAACATAGGTGGGTGATGACACAGAGAATCGCACCGACGAATCCTTCGGGAATCATTCACCCATCAATCTTAATCAAGAATTTGTCTCTACAAAGTAGTGGCAAGAGAACACTGAAAACCAAAACAACAAGAGAGAGAGAGAGAGAGAGAGAGAGATCAACGTTCCCGCGGTCCATTTGGAGTAATGGCGGTTTCTTACGGTAGGTTGTGTTTTGTTGCACTGCAAATTTATTTGCACTAATACAAATGCATAGGAGTGCAAATATAAAAAAAATGCAAATTATTTAATTTTGTTTTGGGTTTTACTTTATTCTGATTCATGTCTTAATATACTTCATTTGTATTTCCATCAAACAAAATAAGCTAAAATTTGAAATAAAAATAGGTGAATTTACACTCAAATCATTTGCACTGCCATTACTTTGCATCAGTGCAAATTTATTTGTATTGCAACCAAACACAGCTTTAATTCCAAATTGTATTCCAATAAAGTATTGGTGCATTTGATACTTCAAAGCTGAAACGTTTAATCTCCATTTGGAAAGACTACAAATACATATAAAATTTGCACTCTACATATTTGTATTTGTACTCCTTCCAAACAGAGCCAATGGCATTTCATGTCAAAACGCCTAACAAGAAACTTAATCATCCTGAATAGTAGGTATTCAATAAGTGTTTTGAGCAGTATTGTCTCCTGCCCACAAATTCTTCCTATAAGGCTACCCACAAGACACTATAGTTGCACGTTGGGAAGATTGGATGTAGGGGTGTCAATTTGGAGGGATTGGATGGACCAATAAGAGATATTGAATTGGACCAGTCCAAACTTAATGGTCCAAAGTATTTATTGGATTGGATTGGCCCTAGTCCATCTATAATTAATTTATATTGGGTTGGGTTGGATTGAGCCAATATCTGATCCATCGATAGAAGATAAGAATATAGGTGTCAATAGACCACGTTTGGGTTAGAATTAATCTAAATTAAAACAAATTTGAACAGATTGGACTATCCAGGCATTGAACTGGACCAGCCCAAAATATTCATTGGATTGGATTGGACCTGGTCCATTTGCAACGGACTCACATTGGACTATATTGGATTGGACCAAATCCAGTCCAATTGGCACCCCTACTTGGTCCTATCGGATCTGTTCCAATATGAATGCATCATGAACCAGTTCCAATCCAATCCAATGAATACTTTGGAGCATTTTGGACCGGTTCAATTCAATGTCTAAATGCCCAAATTGTTCAAATTGATTTTAATTTAGATTGGTTCCAACCCAAACCTGATCCATTGACACCTATATTCTTATCTCTTATCAATGGACCAGATATTGGTTCAGTCCAACCCAATCCAATATAAATATGTTTAGGACGGAGCAGGTCTAATCCAATTGAATAAATATTTTTGAACATTATGTCTGAACTGGTCCAATTTAATATATTTTATACTCTGTCCAATCTGTCCAAAATAATTTTAATTTGAACGAGTGCAACCCAAAACCGGTTCATTGACACCACTACTTTGATGTTCCTATCACTGCAGTGGCATCTGCATCTGGATAGGATTGTGGGTAGGAGATCCGAGCCTACGTTACTTATGTCTTTATTCAGTATCCCCATTTCTGCCTGAAACGTTTAAATGAAAAGAAAACAATTCAACTGTTTTTAACTTAATATAGTCTCAACCAAGTAAAATGTTATCACTAAGGCTGTGTTTGGAATCAGTGTAAAACGTTATCACTGATGACGTTTTACACTGAATCAGAAAATGACCGTTGCATTTTTGAAAATAGTGATGGGTGGGAAGAGTGTAAAGTTTTACATCGTTTTACATCAATTATCGACGCAAAACTACACTCCATCCAAACGCATGCAAAAGTGAACCGGAGTGTAATTTTACATCGATAATAATTACACCCTCTTCCCAAACGCATACAAAACCAAGTCAATGTAAATTTTACATCAGTTCCTAATTTATATCGCATCCAAATATAGCCTAATGAAACCCAAAATACCTATTAGTGGCACTAATGTGGTGGCATTTCAAATAAAAACATCAATGGATCCTTAAACACTGCCCGCTATCACTCGGAAGAAAGGAACAAAAGAATTTTCCAAGATAGCTTCTCCTCCTTGGATAGTATTCATGAGAAGATCTTGTCCCTATCTTCTCACGAATGCTAGTCCACCAACATTTTGTTGGTGTGAGATATGAGTGTCAATTGGACTGGATTTGGTCCAATCCGATCCAATCCAATGTGAGTCCATTACAAATGGACCGGGTCTGATCCAATCCAATGACCATTTTGGACTGGTCCAATCCAATGTCTAGACCGTCCAATCTGTTTTAATTTAGCTAGATTAGTTTTGACCAAAACCTGGTCAATCGGCACCTATATTTTTATCTTCTATCAATGGACCAGATATCGGCTCAATCCAACGGAATCCAATATAAATTCAATTACGGATGGACCTAGTCCAATCCAATAAGTACTTTTTGGACCATTAAGTCTGGATTGGTCCAATTGAATATGTCTTGTTGGTCTGCCCAATCTATCCAAATTGATTTTGGTTTGGATAGGGCCCAATCCAAAATCGGTCCACTGACACCCCTAGTGTGAGCAGAGGGGAGTTACAAAAGAAACTGACTGCAGATTTTGTGTTAGAAACTCTATTGGAGAGACATCTTGTGGACCTTTGGTGGTCCGTTTCAAGCTGTAGACGCCTCTGAACTGAAGCAGAAATCCGCTAGCTCCCTTCTAATCAGACTTCTTAAGAGTTGCTAACAGGCCTTAGTAGTAGGAGACTCAAGGATTACCATCAAATGAACAAAAGACTCAGATGAGGAACTGATGAAGGAAAATTTGGTCCGACCTCGCAATCACCCGACATGTGGCAAAAGCAAACAACTTGGGATAGCGGAGCGCCCAAAACGAGCACCGAAAGTAACGAAGTCCAAGCTCACTATCGAGCCCGAACTCCACCAGACCGCTCTACTAGGAGCCCGAGCTCCCTACCAAGAGTCTGAGCTCCCTATTAAGAGTTCGAGCTCCCTATTAAGAACCCGAGCTCCCTGCAAGGAGCACGAACTACCTCAGGCCCCAAGCCTCGCAAAGTTGTGACCCGAGCTGACCCATGGCAGTTCGGAACACTCCCCAAACCGAACTCAAGACATCTCGCTCGCCACTCCAGCACTTCGCTTTCGAAACACCAGGCTGGCCAAACGTACCTGACACCAAGGACGTCCGTATCCGGGCGGCGCACCTGACTGATTTGGGATCCGACGCCTGACAGCCGCACTTCAAACGGCTTCC